AGTTTTAGCACTTAAAAAGGAGAACCTGTGTTTTTTACATATAGTACCAAGTACATCCCAGGGCTCTCAACATTTAGTTTGAATTACTTTGATATGTATGATTAATGGGAGATAACAGTGAAGCATGTATTTCCTGAACAAAGTGTTCTGGACACTTGCAATAACACTTCATAACAGATAATTTTTTTTAAATATATTTTATTGATCTTTTACAGAGAGGAAGGGAGAGATAGCTAGAAACATCGATGAGAGAGAAACATCGATCAGCTGCCTCCTCCACATCTCCCACTGGGGATGTGCCTGCAACCCAGGTACATGCCCTTGACCAGAACCGAACCTGGGACCCCTCAGTTCGCAGGCCAACGCTCTGAGCCAAACCGGTTTTGGCATAACAGATAATTTTTATAGCTTGTAATATCTTAAGCATCCTAGCATATAAAATTGGCCATTTCTTTCAATAAGCTTTTTTACTTAGATACATTATATACAAGTCTCTATTTTTGTGATTTTTAAAGGCTCATATAAACTAGTGTGTTAACATGGCTCTGTCGTACATTATTCTTGAAAGATAACTGTTTCAGGACCTTATAATAAATAGATTGATGTGGTACTTCTGTTTATTGGCTTTTTAAAAACTATTATTAATCACTTTGTTTAGGAAAAAACCTGTGTAAGAATGGGCATACGGTTTTCTGCATCTATATTTTTTCTATACACATTCAAAAGCAGGAAAAATGTGATTCAACTTAGCTAAAAGGATTGTAGAATCAAAATGAATTGACCAACAAAATAAGTCCCCTGCCATGGAGACATGGAACATACTGACATACCTCAGAGGGTGTGTGACAGAAAAGAGATAAACCAAAAAACTTATATACTATTAGAGGCCCAGTGCACAAAAATTTGTGCACTGGTGGGGGAGGGAGGTGTCCCTTAACCCCACTTGTGCCCTCTCACAGTCTGGAATCCCCAGGGAGATAACCACCTGCTGGCTTAGGCCCACTTCCAGGGTGGCAGATGGCAGGCCCAATCCCTCAGTGCCTGCCCCGACTCCCCAGGTCTCACACACGGCAGGGCCAATCCTGGGGTTGGGGCCCCACCCCAGATCGGGTCGCACATGGGTCGCCCTAGGCGGGTCGCACACAGGATGCCCAGGCGGGCTGGCCGATCGCTGCTGCCCTGCCGCCCCTGGTCAGGTTGCAGATAGCAGGCCCGGAAAGGCGGCAAGGGCAGGCGGGATGGCGCTGTGACGCCCCACCGCCCCAGGTCGCAAATAGCAGGCCCAGATGGTTGCGGGGCAGGCAAGATGGTGCTGTCTCGCCCTGCCTGCAGGATGCAAATTAGCCGCCATCTTTGTTGCCAATGGGAGG